GTGTCTTTACTGTTTCTGTACACATTTTAGAATTGTTTGTTCTGGCTCTGTGAAGAATATTGGTATTATTTTAATAGGGGTTGCATTGAATGTATAGATTGCTTATAGTGTCAACATTTTAAGAATATTTTTTCTCCCAGTCCATGAGCATGGTATATTTTTCCATTTCATATCTTCTTCAATTTATTTCATAAGCTCTTTATAGTTTTCAGCACATAGATCTTTTACTTTTTTGGTTAGGTTTATTCATTGGTATTTTATGATTTTTGATGCAATTGTGAAGGGGATCGATTCCTTGATTTCTCTTTCTGTTGGTTATCGGTGTATAGTAATGCAGCTGATTTCTGTACATTGATTTTATACCCTGCGACTTTGCTGAATTCATGTAACAGTTCTAACAGTTTTTTGGTGGAGTTTTTTGTGTTTTCCATGTAGAGTATCACTGGGACATCTCTTTTTATCTTAACCGCTTATCAGCATATATACTCTTTGCTTCTTGAGGCAGCTTTTAGATACAGAAAACAACCTTAAATTCCCTGTAGATGGCATTACCCATCTTCTGTTCCTCAAATCAAGCATCAAAATTCATTTCACTTAGATTTGAGATTTAAATGTAAAAACTGCAATATTTATATATTTTTATTTTGGGTAAGAATTCTTTTTTTTTTATTAAATATGAAATTTATTGTCAAGTTGGTTTCCATACAACACCCAGTGCTCATGCCAACAGGTGCCCTCCTCAGTACCCATCACCGGCCCTCCCCTGCCTCCCACCCCCCATCAACCCTCAGTTTGTTCTCAGTTTTTAAGAGTCTCTTATGTTTTGGCTCCCTCCCTCTCTAACCTCTTTCTTTTTTTCCCCTTCTGCTCCCCCATGGTCTTCTGTTAAGTTTCTCAGGATCCACATAAGAGTGAAACCATATGGTATCTGTCTTTCTCTGTATGACTTATTTCACTTAGCATAACACTCTCCAGTTCCATCCATGTTGCTACAAAAGGCCATATTTCATTCTTTCTCATTGCCATGTAGTATTCCATTGTGTATATAAACCATTCTTCAGTTGATGAACATTTAGGCTCTTTCCATAATTTGGCTATTATTGAAAGTGCTGCTATAAACATTGGGGTACAAGTGCCCCTATGCATCAGCACTCCTGTATCCCTTGGGTAAATTCCTAGCAGTGCTATTGCTAGGTCATAGGGTAGATCTATTTTTAATTTTTTGAGGAAGCTCCACACTGTTTTCCAGAGCGGCTGCACCAGTTTGCATTCCCACCAACAGTGCAAGACTGTTCCCGTTTCTCTACATCCTCACCAGCATCTGTAGTCTCCTGATTTGTTCATTTTAGCCACTCTGACTGGCGTGAGGTGGTATCTGAGTGTGTTTTTCATTTGTATTCCCCTGATGAGGAGCGGCGTTGAGCATCTTTTCATGTGCCTGTTGGCTGTCTGGATCTCTTCTTTAGAGAAGTGTCTATTCATGTTTTCTGCCCATTTCTTCACTGGATTATTTGTTTTTCGGGTGTGGAGTTTGGTGAGCTCTTTATAGATTTTGGATACTAGCCCTTTGTCTGATATGTCATTGGGAAATATCTTTTCCCATTCCGTTGGCTGACTTTTAGTGTTGTTGATTGTTTCCTTTGCAGTGCAGAAGCTTTTTATCTCCTTGGGGTCCCAGTAGTTCATTTTTGCTTTTAATTCCCTTGCCTTTGGAGATGTGTCAAGTAAGAAATTGCTGCAGCTGAGGTCAGAGAGGTTTCTTCCTGCTTTCTCCTCTAGGGTTTTGATGGTTTTCTGTCTCACATTCAGGTCCCCAGTGACCGAGGTGAGCTCGGTCTTCCGGGGCTCAGCAACTCTCCCTCCTGTTGTCCTCTTGCCCTCCCCGCTCTCTGAGAGCAGAGCTGATGACTTTTAACCCTCCAGATGTTAAGTCCCGGTGGCTGTTAGAACTCAGGCAGTCCGGCCCCTCTGCTTTTGCAAGGCAGACTCACCGGTGCTCTGCCTTATTGGGAGGGCTGCTCCTCCACTGCCTCAGCTCCCTCCCGCCAGTCCGCGTAGCGCGCACCGCCTCTCCACCCTTCCTACCCTCTTCCATGGGTCTCTTGTCTATGCTTGGCTCTGGAGAGTCCGTTCTGATAATCTTCTGTGGTTTTCTGGGTTATTTAGGCAGGCGTGTGGGTGGAATCTAAGCGATCAGCAGGACGCTGTGAGCCCAGCATCCTCCTGTGCTGCCATCATCGGGAGTTCAGGATTGTAAGAATTCTATAAGACTAAAGCAGAAACCACAAAGGAAAGTATTAATAGGCTTGATTTTTTAAAAATGTTTATTTATTTTTGAGACAGAGAGAGACAGAGCATGAACGGGGGAGGGTCAGAGAGAGAGGGAAACACAGAATCTGAAGCAGGCTCCAGGCTCTGAGCTGTCAGCACAGAGCCCGTCACAGAGCTCCAACTCACACACCAGGAGATCATGACCTGAGCCGAAGTCGGCTGCTTAACCGACTGAGTCACCCAGGCGCCCCTAATAGGCTTGATTTAATAGAAATAAAATATGCCTTTCCACATAGAAGAAAATCAAAAATAAAATTCGAATTTAAATAATTCTGTCATCTGTGCCAAAGGATTGGTAGCCATAATAGTAATAATAATAGTAGTAGTAAATGATTTCAAATTAAGGAGAAAATGATGCAGATTCCACTGGAAAAAATGACAAAAGCTACCAACATGCAAATCCTAAAAGAAGACATTTAAATGGGTGGTAAGAAATTTCAGCTTCACTAGTAGTGATAATAAAAATAAATAAGTTCAAAAACAAAAACAAATATTTTGCTAATGAATTTTTAAAAAATAAACACCGTTACTAAAATTTGTATAAGAAAATGAACTTGTCACATACTGAAACTCTAGCACAGAAGTCAGCAAACTTTTCCTGTAAAGTGCCAAGTAATAATTATTTTAGACTTTGCAAGCAGTGCTGTCTCTCCCAAGCCATTGACATTTCTAAAATAAGGTACTGTTAAAATCCGATAGACTCCACCAAAAGTCTGCTAGAACTGATACATGAATTCAGCAAAGTTGCAGGATACAAAATCAATGTACAGAAATCAGTTGCATTCTTATACACTAACAATGAAGCAACAGAAAGACAAATAAAGAAACTGATCCCATTCACAATTGCACCAAGAAGCATCAAATACCTAGGAATAAATCTAACCAAAGATGTAAAGGATCTGTATGCTGAAAACTATAGAAAGCTTATGAAGGTAATTGAAGAAGAT